TCTGATGACATCTCTTGACGGCCATCAGAGCCTCTTCGGGCTGGGGACTGGAGAGAGGTGTAGTAAAAGCCAAGCCCCTGCCTAAAGATGCCTGTGCCTGAAAGAGAAGCGGCAAAGCAAGCACCGTGGTGCCCTTTTCATGGTGGGGTCTGGGTTGGATGACTCACCGAGGCCCCTTAGGAGCCCAGGTCTGATGGGAAGCAGACCCAGGGCTCCTGCATCCCGTCTTGTCTCGCGCTGGCCTCTCTCCTGTGCGCTGGGGTGCTCAGGTTTGAGAGGTCCTTTTGCAATAATTGCCGAGACCTCGGATGACAATATCTGCAATGCACAGTGTCTGTGTCGCTCTTCACTCTGTCTGGTTACTGTTTGCATTTGACTCTATCTTATCATTTTGCTATTTCTACTTTAATTCAGTTTCTCTTGTGCTGAAAAGCATTAAAAAACTTTAATAAGGAGAAAGAGATTAAATTCACTTTACTGTTATTTTTCAGGGAGATTTTTGTTTGTCAAGACATTATGCCTGAGGGGGACTCTATCAGAAACTGGAACTCCTGAAAATGAGTTAATTAAAAAGCCAATGAAACTGCCTCTGTCCCTCCCTTCGGTGGAGTGTGCTGGGGATGCTGCTGCTGTCCATTTTAGAGGGACGCATTTGGTCCTGTCTTGTTAATCACTAACAGATTTGTGTTATAATTGCTAACCAGGGGAAGTCTGCCTTGGTCAAGGCAGTGACTCACTTGGATTTCATTTACCTCCTGGTCTTCTCCTGGGACAATCACAAAGACTATTTTTTTTTTTTTTAACTTAACTACAAAATGTTCTTCTCTACGTTCCCCCCAGCTCTGGTTTTCCTCTCTTCTGCAGCGTGCATGTGTGTGTATGCAGGTGCATCTCTGAGCATTCGTGTGTGCCTGGGTTCCCTCATGGCCGTGGGCTCACAGGGGCATCTCAACCCCCATTTTGTGCTTGCACGCGTGCTCCAGCTCCTAAGCGCACACGTGTGTGCACATGTCCGTGCTTTGGGGGGGGGCCCCAGTCCTAGTTAGTCCATCATTTTGCAGCATCATGGACATGACTTTCATTGTAATTATAATCTCAGCCTTTGTAATTCTTCATACCTTCTGCACAGCTCTGCTGCAAGCGAGCTGCCTGTTTTATCGGTTGTAACAAGGCTGTCGCTTCAAATCCTCTCTCAGACCATTATCTCCCTTTGATGCTTTTGAAGAGCCAGCGATATGTTAATTCTACCTTGGCCCTCTCCTCTTCCCTTCTCTTTGTACAAATCCACCCTTGCCAGCCTGGCCGGCTGCCTTGGTGCTTGCAGGGGAGCTGGGCGCAGTGCTCGGGCTGTCCCTGCTCTGTCCCCTGGCTTTGGGGGAGCTGGTGGGAGGCGGCTGCATTTAAGGCTGTGGCTGCTTGTGCTGCCCTGGTCCCCTGTCACTGCCATCTCCTTGGGTGCAGCCTGTGCCTGGAGCGGGGTACCTGTGCCGGGGGAACGCGTCCTCTTTGCTTTGGGAGATTTGGGGTGGGTGGAGGACGAGCAAACGGCAGGACGGGCTGGGCAAAGCGCCGGCGCTGAGCCCTGCTCCTGCCAAGCCCGGTGCGGCAGCAGCGCCTGCAAGGACAGATGGAGCCCCCCCGAAAGGTCTGCGTGGTGGTGTCCATCGCCCACTTGGCCCTGGCAGACAGCACCAGATTGTCGGCCCTGGAGAGTCCTGCTTCTCGGCAGGGTACGGGCAGGGCAGGCAGCGCATCCCCTAGCCCCCATCTCCAGCCCGTAGCCTGGCCGGCGGCAGCAGCCCCGCTGCAGGCAGAGCGAGCTCTGCTTGGGGGTCCCACACCGTTCCCGGGGCTGCCAGCGAAGGGGCTTTTCTGGGGCCGGATCCAGGGACCTGGGAGAGGGTGGGTGCCGTGCTGTGCCGTCCTGGCGCACGCTCTGGGTCACGCTAACCTGCCCAAATCTCTTCCAGAATATTCTTGATTCCCTCCCACGGCACTTGGGGCTCAGACAAGCTCATCGCCAGTTTGATGTGGAGTGGTTGTGTGCGGTGGGGATGTAATTTATGGACTTTGTGATAAGCCTGTCCAGTCATCCTAAAATAATAAATAAAATACATACCAAGGGCTGGCATGAGATAGGATCAGCAATATCAGGGTCTGAGGAAAATTACTGAGACTCTTCAACAGCAAAATAAAGAGCGTGGAGGGAAAAAAAAGTCGCAGAAGGAAAAAATCAGGAGCATCATCTCCTGCCACAGACTGGGTCGAGGCCCTTCAGGGACTGGGACGGACTGGTTTGGCCACAACTCTCCCCGGCAGTGCTTGGAGTATTTGGCCAAAATATCCAATCCCATAGTGGAGGCCCATTGCAGCCATTCAAAGCACAAAGGAGTTAAGAGGGGGGTGAGCATCCCCTCGGTGTGAAGGCAGCATATCCATGCCTCCAGGGACCAGGCATCTCTGGCCCTGCCCTCCCCGGGTGGGGGGGGGTCTCTTGTCCCCCTTCCTTGCCTGGGTGTACTGGTGGTGAGGTGGCTGCTAGAGGGGGCAAGTCTGGCAAGGGAAGGGGATGAAGGATTTACTCCTGTCCATTTGAAATCGGCTGTGATTTGTTAAGGGTCCCTCGCGCAGCCTTTCCTGGGAGGCGGCATCCGAGTCTGGCCTTGGGGAGTTTGGATGAGGGCTGCCAAGGAGAAGCACAGTTACAAAACTGCTGCCCTGCGCAGCTTAACGTTTCCGAATCAAGGCACGGCATGTCAAACCCTTCAGGAGCTGATGCAATCCTGCTCACCTCTCGGAGACAGTGAGATGGACTGTTGTTTTCCGCGGCTCCTCTAGCCGAGGAGGAGCACGCTGCCGGGCGTGCGGCTGCAGCAGCCTGAGCTTCTACCCAGGGCCAGATGCTTTGGCTTGACACGTGGCAATGCTGCAATTTGGACTTTGCTCCCGTGCACGGCCGGGCAGGTACCGGCGCTGCCAGCCTTGCCTTGCGCCTAGTATCTTGCACCGGGAGCTCAGGCTGCAAAGAGCTGCTTGCTGCGGCTGGCATGTTAATTGCTTGATACGATGGATGGCTTCGTTTAGTACCAAAAGGCATTCTGAGGCAGTTTCTCGGTTTCAAGCTCCCGGTGTTTTGGAAAAGCTTTACGTGCTCAGGATAGGCTCGGATGCTGCTGGTTGTTATCTAATAGTGCCTGGTAATCACGGCTCTGGACTTCTATTTCGGGTTCTGCTTGAGTCATGGTGTGCCCTTGGAAAAGACCTTTGTGCCTTGAGGCTTGTCTGCATGAAAACACTGCGCTCGTTTGACTTAAATCACTTTTAAAACAGTTTTGGTTTGGTTGAGGCAGAACTTGGTCTGGGCCTACTGATGTCTTATGGAATATTAATGTGGACTGCATCTTGAATTGGAATAAGAGCATCCTACTGATGCTTGAGACGAGTCTAACAAGTGAATTTGTGTTTATACACATAGACTAGACCTCTGTTTACCTTGTCAGCAGACGGGTTAATACCCCAGCAGCAAATCTGCTAGTGGATTGTTAAAGTCCTTGGATAAATACTCCGTGATGGTCTAACGTTATTGCAACTTCTTTCTTTCCCTGCTCCCAGAGCACTGCGGTAGGAGACTCCATGGCAGCCACCGGGCATTGTAGGGACTGATGGGGACTGGGAACTTGGTGCAGGAGCTTGCTTTCTATTTAAAACAATAACAATAATAGTCCTCTAAGTAACAAAGTAGGTTTGCAGCCACAGTGATTGTGGTGGGGAAATAAATGCTGTAAAAAAGCAAGGTGATAGGTGGGCGTGAAAGGGGAGAAAAGAACAGTCAAGAACTTTGATCCAAATAAAAAGACCGTTGGGACAAAAGCTGCTCTGCACCCATTTCTCCCACCCCACCCATCAGCTGCACGTCTCGGTGATACCAAAATGCTTCCCCTTCCAGCAAGGTGGATCACGCTTCTTGTCACCAGCTCTAACTTCCCTCTTGCTGGGTACGCTGCCTCCTCAAACACAGTCTCAGGGTACCGCTGGAGCCGGGGTGCTGCTGCCCAGGCTGGGCTGTGCAGGCATTAGGGGACCAGTCCCGGGGCCGGGGTGAAGCTGCTTGCGATGCTGCTGTGCCAAGCGCATGCCCTGCTCTGAAGTGTTTTGCTTCGCCCGCAGCAGCGGGGAGCTCGCCTGTCCCTGTCCGGTGGCACAGTGTGCTGGGGGTGCTCGGTCCTGGTGCGCTCTCAGTCCCCGTGTTGTCCTCTGAGGACTTGCTGGGCTCCTGCAGCCCCGTCCTGGTTGTGTGAGCCCGGTGCTGCCCTGGGAGGGGGCCCGAGTCTCTAACCCACGCACCGCTCCGCTGCCCAACGGTGGGTATTGCGGTGAGCCGCAGCTCTGAGCATCCTCGGGACTTTCGGTGCAATCTCCCACTGGTGATTATCAGTGGGTGGCTTGGGAGAAGAAAGCTCCCAAGCTCTCCAGCTTGCTGGGCTGTAAATGATGCCAGCGTCTGTCATTCGCTGTAGCACATTGGCTTGACACCGGTGGAGATGCTGCGAAGAAGCAACAGAGGGAGGTAGCAGGGGCAAAGAGGGGGGATTGGAAGATCCCTTTAAAAATGAAAATGATTCTGGCTTCCAGCACCAACTCCCAGGGCAGCAGCCTGACCAGCACGTGCTGGGATGGTGTGGGCATACCGGTGACTCCAGCTGTGATGCTGGGCTGCTGTCCTGCTCCCCCCTTTGCTCTGCTTCAGTTACCTTGCACCCCGCTCTGCATTCGATACCCATTGCAGTCCCTGCCTGCTTGCATGATCCTGCTTCCCCTTTGCCAGCCCTTAGCAGCATGAAACTTAAGCAACCCGTTGGGAGGGGACTTTAAGCAGAAACGAGAGCAGGTTTAATGTTGCAGTTTAAAGTCAACAATTCTCAAAAGGAAAACAAAAGTCAAACCAGAATCTTAATGGTATTTTTTGTTTTCTTTTGTTTTGTTGTTTTATTTTTTGTTAGCAACCCAACTACTGGAGCTTTAAGGTCAGTATTTCTGATTTTTCATGCTTCCGTTTGAAATGCATGCACTTTTCCACCCTTGCCTCATCTCTGTGTCTGTGTCAGGGGGTGGGAGCTCGGGTTTTTTGTTGAGGATTCCTGTGCCAAAATAGTTTGTTCTCAGCTCAGCAGCAGTTCAAGCTCATGGGAAGGATCTTATGCTTTTGGGTTGAGTTGTTGCGCAGACAAACCTGTTCTCTGAGAGGGATGAATCTGTTTCCTGCCCTCGTTTAGACCACTATCACCCCACAGTCAAATCCTGCTGCTTTAGAGTTATTTCATTGCAGCAGAGACCTTAATTCTGGGAAAAGGACAGAAAAGAGCCTGTTCCGGATGGGCTTGGAAATCCACCTGCGGAGCTCCATCCAGGTGCCTGCTCGCAGGCAGAGATACAAGGGTTGCTCTGATTTCCAGCCTCCTCGTCGGAGGAGGAGGAGGAGAGCTGCCGAGCAGAGCCTGTCTTCCTCGTCGGAGGAGGAGAGCTGCCGAGCAGAGCCTGTCCTTCCCATCCGTGGCCCTGCCGAGCTCTGGGACCTGCCGCGCTTTCCATCGCACGGTGTGTCGGTCACTTACCTGCATTTGGCTTCCCCCTTCGGGCTCCTCATCTCCCTCTCCTGAGCCCCTCGTTCCCCGGAGAGCCCAGGCTGATCCCACGCTGATGTGCGAGGGCAGGAGACTCGAGGGGGGGGGTGTGTGTCTCAGGACAGGGGGTGCTGGCGTGCTGCTCCCTAAAGCTGGGCTGTGCCTGCACCTTGCAGGAGGTGGGGTTGGCGGAGAGGGAGGAGGAACGGGCTTTCCAACACAAATGCCGTGCCAGACCCCAGAGACCGGCTTGTGTTTGGCGTGTCCAGGGACCTCTAGACCAGACAGCAAAGTTATCTGTTCGGCTGGTGGTGTTGAGCCCCGCGGGAGGGGAAGGGGCAGCTCTGTCCTGCGTTGGCCATCGCATCTCTGTCTCCATCCTCTGCTCTGTCTCTTGGGTGTTACGGTACCAGCCTGTTCGTCAGGAGGCTGCTGCACGAGCGGCAGAATGGAGAAAGCATTAGTGTTTGCTTTATTGCACCGGGATCTTTGTGCCTAAACCCACCTCTTCCAGGCTACACAAAGGGGACCCTGATGGGAGTCTCCTGGCAGCGCCGAGGGTCTGTGCCTGCCTGGTGATTCCTGCCAGCACCTTGCAAACAGTTGCCTTATTGTCTGGCAGGGTGAAGTACGCATGTCATCGCAACTCCCCTTCCTCCCTCCTCCTCGCCCAGGGATGCGGTGGCAACACTTCAAGGTCAGGCGTGTTGCTGGATGACCTTGGCGTGTTGTCCCTGGTGGGTTTGCTCTTCCTGTGGAAAAAACAAGCGCTTTCCTTGGTTGGCAGCGGAGAGCGGAGGAGTCGTAAAATGCATAATATGTGCACTTGTTCCGAGTTTTCATTCTTGAAGTACTTGCAGCGTAAAACACGTGTGAGCAGCGGCTCCCTGAATATTCAGCTGTCCGAGTTCTCACCGGCCAGTTTCAGCCACGTGCTCTCGGGGACATTCCTGGGACGGGGCGGGGCGGGCAGCCACAAAAGCCTCAAATTTTTTTTTTTTCCCCCCATTTTTTGTGAGTAAGACATAAAGTGGGGATGAACTTTAGGGGTCCACCCACCCCAGAGGGGTCCTCCTCGGCAGCGGCTGGGAGTTTGCAGCCACAGAGGGTTTTGTTTTCTATAACTGCATATTTTTCCACCCAAGCCTGGAAGTACTTCGCATTGCAAGCGGAGCATCTTCCCCGGCTGTATCTGCTGTGGAAATGCGTTACGGGTTAAATCACCCTCTGCTTCCCGGCCGAGGGAGGCCCCCAGCTGCCTGACCCCGCTACCAAGTGGGGCATGAGCCAGAGGCAGCTGGGGATGGCTTGTCATGGAGAGAGCCCTGCGGGGAGGCTGATCCTGGCAAGCAGGTGCTGGGGGCTTCCTCGAGGCCACTGCAGCCACCTGTGTCCCCTGGGGTCTTCTGTAGCTGCAGGCTTGGCCTTCAGCTGGGAAAGCTGCCTCCCCTCCCGCCGCCCCCCCGCCCCGCTCTCTCCCCAAAATAAAACTTTCATGACCCTTTAGGTTCCCTGTCTGTGTCCAGCTGCCGCCCTCCGCTGCTGGGGGTGCCGAGCCCGCCCTTCTCCATCCCTCAGCCAAAGAGGGGGGGGCTGCAGCCAGAGCCCCAACTGATGGGGGATGGAGGGAGGAGATCAGATGGTGGGAAGGGCTGTGCCAAATTCCCAGGGACACCCAGGGACGCGGCGTGCTGCTGCTGCAGCTGCTGACCGGCGCCCAGGGCAGGACCTGCGCTCCTCCTGCCCTGGCATCCCCCATCTGCCTGGGGACAGGCGAAGGCAGGTGGGGGGGGCTGCAGCCAGAGCCCCAACTGATGGGGGATGGAGGGAGGAGATCAGATGGTGGGAAGGGCTGTGCCAAATTCCCAGGGACACCCAGGGACGCGGCGTGCTGCTGCTGCAGCTGCTGACCGGCGCCCAGGGCAGGACCTGCGCTCCTCCTGCCCTGGCATCCCCCATCTGCCTGGGGACAGGCGAAGGCAGGTGCTGGCTGCGATTTGGGGCTCTCCAGGCGTGGGCTTTGGGGGAAAGGGGGGCCCTGCATTGCTGTGTTTGTCGGTCTCAGTGCTGGAGAGGAGCAGATGCTCTTGTATGTCGGTGGCGGTGCCATCGTCGCGGAGAGGGGTCCAGGAGATTACGCTGTCCCCACCGTTTCATCCTCTGCATCCCCTTGTGTCTGCGGGTCCTGCCGCTGCCCTCTGCCCTGCTCTGTCCTCCTGCCCCACGCCCCAGCACATCCCTGGGATTTCTGCACTTGCTTCTAGATTGAGCCAGCCCCGCTCAGCTCACGAATGTCCCTTCCCACCAGCTGGGTCGGGCTGTGTGTTCACACGGAGCCATTGATCCAGCCACTCTGTGGCCATCGTCGCGCTGCTGCTGGTCCCTGAGTCCCCAGGCACGGGGCAGCCTGGTACCCACCTGCCTTTCCATCACCTAAACCGCATCCCAGCTCACAGCCTGCATCCCCGCTGTTTTGGGGTGACTCAGAACCATGTTCTGGGTGTCAACCTCGCCAGGGCAGGAGCATCTCAGCCCCATGGTTTGCAGGGCTTGAGGGTTCCAGGGACCCGTTGCTGGATCTGGCCGGGGGGCAAATCCCTCCCCAGGGACGCAGCGGGGAGGGGGCTCTGCCACAGAGAGCGGCGAGGCAGTACTGAGGGCTGGGGGCTCCCGCTGTGCTAATGCAGGGGGTGGGCTGGCTCCTTGCTGTTACTTGTGGGCTGGAGGAGGAATGGGAAGAACCGAAGGCAGAGCCTCACATGAGCTCCTTTGGTGGCAGGACTTTAAAAGAACATGAAAGGGACTAAAGCAAAAGCTCATGGGGAAAAAAAATTGACTAGGATGTGGAAGGGAGAAAGGGGGGGGGGACAGGACATTTTTGTTTTAAAAACAAGCGTCCAGGGCTGTGTCACCCGCTTTGTGCTGTAACTGCACGGCTCCTGCTCCAGCAGCAGTCGGTGGCTTGCTCGGTGCTTCAGGCTGTGGCTCCACTTCCTCCGGCGTGGCCGGGGCACGAGGCTTCCCAGGGGTGCCTCGTCTCGTTAGCAGGAAGCCATTTCCATCGCACCGGCGGGCTGGGGACTTGAGGCGTTTGCTGAGCCGATATTATAGGCAGGCAGCGGTATTTACTTGCAGGAGATGAGCAAATACCAGGCAGGCTTAGCTCCTGTAATCCTGCCGCTCCTGCACCAGCCCTCCTCCCCACGCCCTCCCGGTGGCCTTCGCGTCTGCCGCGCTCCTCGGGGACCGGCTTTTACTGCGTAATATTTTATTGCTCGCAGGAGGAGGACATTGGGGTGTAGCCGGGAGGGGAGAGCAGCTGCTGAGCACCTGCTCCCAACTCCGCCTTGCTCTCTGCTTTTGGGGCACTTGCTGGTTTTCTGACTTGTCCACGGGAGCTGCTCTCCAGTGCTTGGTTATCTGTTGATGCTGGGTGTTGTCACTATTTATTATCGCAGCAGGGATGAGAGTAGCGTCCTTAGTGTAGGAATGGGGAAACCGAGGCGCGGTGGGACTAGGTGACTTGCCTGAGAGTACCCAGGGGAGATGCATCAGCATGACCTGCAGCAGTGTCCGGGCTGGCGTCCCAGATCTGGGGCTCTGTTTACCTACAGCTGTTGCTGCTGAAGTTGGGTGTGTTTTTTTCTTTTTTTGCACTGCAAACCGGCCCCTCCGAGCCTTTTCCCCGAGAGGCACCCGCCTATGTTAACCAGAGCCCGGTCTTCCTGTACACAGCTGTTAAAGCAAATCATGCCTCAGATGCCAAAGAGCTGAGCCTTGTCACCTGTCACTGTGAAGTCCCTGTCACTAATGCTGCTAACCCGAGTGTCCCCGCTGTTTTACAGCCTGTACTGGCTCTCCTCCCTCGGTGGCTGCAGCCCTGCGATCCCCAGCAAGGGCTTGTCCCTTCTCCCCCCATCCCCTTTCTGCTGCTTTCTCACACTTGGCTTTGCTTCCCATCCGCCAGCCTCCCTGAGGGATGCAGTAATTTGCTTATTTTTGGAAGATGCTGTCACACAAGGCAGCGACGCCAGAGAGCAGGGATTGAACGCGGCCACCGCTCAGCCCCGGTGAGGAAGGGGATGGCTGGGGTGAACGTCCACGCGGGGTCGAGGTAGCAGGGATGGAGGCAGGACTGGCACCTTCACCCCCAAAAGCATCTCCTGCCACATACCCCTCTATAATCCATCTCCTGGGACCGCCTCAGTCTCAGGGGAGGTGCTGGATCAGGCCGATTTCTGGATCCCGCCCTGCCCATTTGTCCAGGGTCTCACGGCAGGGATGCTCCTCTCCCCACAGATGCCAGGCTGGACATGCCTGTTTGAGGCATGGGGAAAACAACTCCAGGAACAAAAGCACGGCTGCTTTTGCCAGGAGGTTAATGATTACCCTCCCCGCGGGAG